GATGGGAACGAAGTCCTGCCACAGCTACAAGCATACCCACACTTCCTAGAGCAAGGCTTTCAAAGCAAAACAAGGCTGTGAATCCCTCTGTGGGCCATGAGCCTTTCTCCTCCACAGGTTTGCACATGTGTTCCTGGACCCAGGCATATACGTGTTCCAGGACAATGGACTACCTGAAAGCATCCTCATTGTGTTGGTGAAAGAGGAAGGTGTGGCCTGCGACCCTGGCACATCCCCCATACAGCCCTCCTCCCCATATCAATTGGCCAGACATGGAATCCTTAAACATCAGCCGCTGAACTTAGCTCCTGACTGGGCAACAATTATAGGTAGGTACCGTTGAAGAAGATGGGTCATGCGGAACACAAGCAGGCTTCTGGATTGTTTTAGACCAGGTCTACCTATCTCCTTCAGACTGGAAGTACGGTGACCCCTTCCAGGCCCAATTCCATCACTTGTTAGTGCTGGGGCTTTACCCTGTGCCTTTTCTGGCCTGGGCTGGTTGCCCCTCTTTAACACAACCTTGTGGTCCCCTACTGCCAAAGGCTGAGCATATTGGTGCCAAAATTAGTGCAGACCCTCCAGTATTAGGCCTACTGCAATCCTACACTCTCAGACTCAAACAATCCTTCAGCCTCAGCCTTCTCAGTATCAGGGATTACAGGTGGTACACAGGCAGCTTGACAGGGAAAGCTTTTCACATCTAGAACCACTATACAATCAATAACAAATCTTTATTAAGGACCTATTCTGCCAGGCATTGGGGATACAGAAACTAAATGTAATAGTCTTTGACCTCAAGGAGTTTACAATCTATGGGGAAGACAAAGGGTCAGCAGTCTAGGGGGAAGCAATGGACAACTGAATGTCCAGCCTGCTGGATCTTGATCCCCAACCCTGCTTGTGGTCCTCTCGACTCATCTTCTGCCAGCCGAGGGGGTCACAGCATCACAGGACCACTAGAAACAACCTTAGGAGCCATCCAGTACAATCATTTCATTTTACAAATGAGAAAACTGAATCTCAAAGAGGTTAGTCACAATCACCTGATCACACAGACATTTTCACAGAAGATGCCTTTGGGGATGCCCTGTATCTGAGAACTTACTTTTTCTTTTTCTGCAACAGTTTTCTCTCCCAGATAAAAGAGAGGATCATTTTAGACATTTTTGATTATATATTTCTTGCCATCTTCTTTCTAATCCCTATAGAAGAGACAGCCCCTTTCCTTATTCCAGGAGCTTCCTAGAATGAGTGTGGTCAGTGTGGTGTGTTGGCAAGAGGGATGGATTATCAGACAGAAGACTTGGGTTCCAGTTCTATCCTCTCCATTAAAAAAACTTGGTCAATTCACCTGCCTTTACTGGTTCTCAATTTCCATGAACTTTCCACAAATAAATGGGCTGGAGTAGAAGCCTTTAAACTTTAACATTCTATGATTCCCCAAGGATCACAGAATCGTAGAACCTCGGAGTTGGAAGAGACTTGAAGCCATTTACTCCAACCTAGACCTTAACTGGAATTCCCTGCACAACAAAAAGCCTTTTAGTGAAGCTCTCCAGCAATGGAGAACATATGACCTGAGGAAGGCCAATGTATTTTTACTCCAGTTATGGTAGAAAGTCTTTCCTTCCTTGTGCTAAGTTGAAATCTGTACCTGCAACTTCCATCCATCATTCTTCATTCTGCCTCCATGAGGACAAAACAATTCAAGCATCATTTCTTCCATGTAGCAGTCCATTCTCAGACAGGAAAACTAAGGCCCAGAAAGGTTGAGACTTACCCAAGGCTCCACATAGGTAGTATTTGGAAGAGAGGGCATTTGAAGATGGGCCTTCTCTTTTCCTAACACACAAGTACTCCATGTCTTTACACTGATCATCTCCCTTAGTCTTCATCTCTTTATCAAAGAATCTCTTCCTTCGAGATGCAGCTCAACCCCTGCCTTCTACGTGATGCCTTTCTTGATCTCTTCTAACTGCTAATTCCTACCCTCCTTCCCCTTCCTTGTATTCTATCACATTGTGTGTATCTTATATATAATCTGTGTGAATGTATTTCATGTATGTAGATATGCATATATACATAAACATATACATATCTCACTTGATATCATGTAAGGAGTTGTTTTGAGTTTTTGTATTTATATACTAGTGCCTGGCACACAACAAGTGCTTAATAAATGCTTGTTGATTGATGGATTATTCACCAAAGCCAAGTTTTCTAATTCCAAATCCAGCATTCTTTTCCCAGTACCACAATTCCTCCCGTATTTTTATACCCTGGCTTTATTAATAGTTGTCCATCCCAGACTGTGAAATCTGCAAATCTGATTAGAGTTATCTGTTATTTAGAGTTATCTTCATTTAAGTCATTGATAAAAATTTTAAACATTACAGAGCCAAGGACAGATCCCTAGAGAACTCCGCTAGAATCCTCCCTCAAAATTTACAATGGCCCGTTGATTTTAGACTCTTTGGGTCTAATCATGGAACCAGTTTAGAAACAATGATATTATCATTTAGCTGTCAACTCACCATCCTGTCCAGAAGTGGAGCACATACAGTCTCTGGGTTCAATCTCCTAACCCCAATATCATTCCCCACAGTAAGATTACTGTTCCATCTCTTCTCAGGGTTCTAGAGGTATCCGTGAAGGGCTTTGGGTTTTTCTAATGTTATTGCTCTTAAGTCAAATCTAATGTTTTCCTCTCCAAAAGTAAATCTTGTTATTGTCTCCCCAGTTTGACTATTTTCTTTTTCCTCAACATCAATCAACCAATTATGCCACTTAGCTTTTATAAATACATATTTGCTGAGAAGATAGAGCAAGAAACAAAGTATATAAACCTCCCAAAGTAGAAGCCCACTCTCTTCTACCACCACCTCTGCGGACTCAAACTTAAAAGGTTGCTACAAAACATTCTTCCTACCAAGTTCACTTATGGGTATGGCATAGCCAACGGACAAGTCAATCCCTTGGGTGCCGTGTGTCAGCTGCCAGGTCAACCCACTGCTGGGCTGAATAAAGCAGGTTGATCCTCAGGACTGGTTCCTCACAGGACTTGGCTGCCAGCACATTCTGCTGTGAATTTCCAGTTTCTGGACCTCTGGTGATTAGCTCCTCCAACTTTTCAAACCTCACAGGGTCATGCTCTTCAGTTTCATCTCCAATATCCATTTGCCTAAGGTCAAGGAAAAAAGAACACAACAAAGAAGAACAAAGATATTCATGACTACATGGCAACCTGAAGACTTACAGCATTTCTTTCTCCTCACTTGAAAGTCACCAGGAAGAAAGAGTATACATCTGTCCATGCCTTTTTGGATGTAAACTCAGTTTGGACTAGAAGCCAGTTAAAAGATTTTCCAATCACCATATGGTAAACCCTGGACATACTCTGAATCGGGGGTTGGAGAAACAGAAGGGGGCATATTCTCTGTTTTATGTGTCATCAAGCATTTCTGGAATCAGGGTCAACAGCCTCCATGCAACAAGTTGAGAATACATGCTCCAAGGACTAGTCCTGACCTTAGCCAATCTCACCATTTCGCAAGACAGACTTATTCATACTGAGTCTAGAATACCCCTTTATCTACCAGTCTAATAACCCTATCAAAAAGTAAGTGAGATTAATCTGCTAAGACCAATTTTTTTTTCTTTTGGGAGGCAATCAGAGGTAAATAACTTGCCTAGGGTCACACAGCTAGTAAGTGTCTAAGGCTGGATTTGAAGTCAGGTCCTCCTGACTCCAGGGCCAGTGTTTTATCTACTTTACCACCTACCTGCCCCAAGACCTATTTTTGATGAAGCCCTGGTGGCTTTTTGGAATCATTGCTTCCTTTTCTAGATGTTCATTAACCATCCCTTAATTAATACATATTCTAGAATCTTTTCAGGAATTAAAACTCACTGACCTCTGATTTGAAGATTCTATCCTCTTCCTTTTTTTTTAAGAAATAGAACAAAAATTGCCCTTCTACAATCCAGAAATATCTCTCCCATTCGTTATTATTTTGCAATAATCTCTAACAGTGACTCACAGATTAGATCCATCCTTCTTTCAGTGTCTAGGAATATAGGTTTTTTGGTTTGGGTTTTTTTTTGAGGGGGAAAGAGTACTCGGCAAACAATTTATTGATGTCACTCTTATGTTATCTTACCATCTCTTCCCTTGTCTTGGGTTTCTACTCCCAATCATTTTTAAACTATCCTTCAGTCCTTAGATATGGTTCTGTTGTTGTCTGGGCATGAATGAACCACAGAGCCAACAGAAATAGACAAGGAGAGATCCTACCTCTCTAGGCTTCTCCCTACTTTCCCTCCTGTCCCTATCAGTCTGCTAACTCTTTCTATAGAGGATATCCACATGAAACAATCCTGTATTAGGCCCTGGGCTGAGTGGAATGAGGAGACAAGGTTCCATTCTTCTAGCCAGAGAAAGAACACATACATGAAATCACCCTAGTACCTGGCGGGGGAAAAAAAAAACCACATCAAGAAGAGTAAATAAATGTCCTTCTGGTATTAGACAAAGCCAAGCAGTGATCAGAAAAGATGAAATTAATCCAGGAAGGTTGCCCTGTAGGAGGTGAGTCTAGAGACAGATTTTGAAGAGAAGGCTATAGATAAGTACAATGTGCCTCCTAAGGCAGGCGAATAGCACATGCAAAGGTAAAAAGGTAGGAACAAGCAATTTTTGGATATCTTGGTGATAGTAAGTAGATGAGCTTATAAAACCTGGACTTCCCACTCCCCCTAAGAAAAGCAAATAAGACAGTACCAAATCTTTAACAATTAGATATATACAAGTTCTGGGAAGGTCAGAGTCAAGCCAGAGATGTCAGGTCTCCCTAGGCAAATGCAGAATGCAGGCTGTCCCTAGCAGGCCTGGGATTGTATATATCCTGTTGTTCTTGAGTACATTGAGTACCTTCTCCTACATCTTCTCTGATCTCTTTCTTTGGCCTTCTCTCCTTTCAGGGGTGCTGCTGGTTATTGGATTAGGAACAGTGGTGCTGACTATCTTGGCCTTTGTGCTAAAGCCTTCGCTATCTGGAGTCTGCCCCGTGCAACACTGGAAGCCACGATGGAGGAGCCTTGGGGAGCCCTACATCCCTCCCCAATATGTGCTCATCAAAGACAGGTGAGCCTTCCCTTCTCCCACCTTCTTCCAATACTTTTGGGGAAAATGAGCTAGGACTGCCTATTCCACTTCTTGGCTTCGCTGTGGCTTGAACCTAGTACAAGTAAAAGTTTACTCTAATAGGTAAATTTAAATGTTTACTGTATTGAATTGAATTATACTAACCCATCCTTATCTGGGTTTGACCTTGGTCTCTAGTATCAAAAATTTATGAAGTGTTTGTTAAGCACAGAGACCTATACTACATAGATAGATACTCTAGGCTTAGGAAATATAAAAATGAGTGAGAATACACCATCAGCATAAGGAATCATAAAACTAGAGCTAGAAGGTGACTTGGTGGTTATCTTGTCCCCCTTCATTTTACAGATGAGTACACTGAGGCCTAGAAAAATTAACAGATTTTCCAAGGTCACATAACTCAGGCCCTAGGACTCCAAATCCATCACTTCTTCCGTGAAGTTACACAATCCCTACTCTCCAGGAACTAGTAGGGTAGGGAGATCAGGCTAGGTAAGACTATACAACACAGCTAATTAAAGTACAAAATAAAATGCTCTAAGTGCCAAAGAGACAAACAAATAAAATAATACATGTTGGTTCAAAGGCAAGTAGAGCCTACATATGGTGGAGATCAGAGGGAGAGCAATTAAACAGGAATCAGAGAAGGCTTCATGAAGGAATTAACATCTGTCCTGGGTCTTGAAAGATGGGTAAAGTCCTGACCAACAGAGATTTAAAGGAGGTTGTGTAGGTGAAGGGCAGGGTATGAGCAAAACTATGAAGGCAAAAGTACTGAGTGTGTTCAGTAAACAGTGAATTTACAGCCTAGACTACACAGGAGTAAAGGATAGAAAGATGGTCTAGACCATATTATAGGAGGCTATGAATGAATGAACAAATAAATAAATGAAAAAAGGCATTTATTAAGAACTTATTCTGTGCTAAGCTTTGTGCTAAAGCATTGAGGATACAAGGAGAAAATAGAGATAGTCTTTATTCTCAAGGAACTTACATTCCTATAGAGGAAGACCACACATGGAGCAGGGTTAAGATACAAAGACCTAGTGGTAGGGTGCCAATGCAAGGCAGATGCCAAGGCTCACTGGTTCTTAGGGATGACAGAAGTTCAAACTTGATTTGGGAGCCACAGAAGGGTGTTGAATAAGGAAGTGCTAGAGGTTGTTTGCAGACCCCATTCTTCCCCCTTCTGGTCCTCTTAAAGCCCAGAATGAAACAAATTAGTCATCTCTTATGTGGTCAAGAGCCAGCAGCACATAAGAGCCCAAATGTATACCCAAGGACACACATATGTCTGTTTACAGAACACTGCCAAAGGGATTCCGTTGACTGCTAGGTCCTCATTCTCTCTTTCCCTCTCTTGCCAGCCTCCCATTCTATGATGCTTTCAGCACTTGGGGCTCTGGGGAAGGACCATCTACCAGCGAGAAGGATATTTTCCAAGGCTCAGGTACCATTCCGGGTATTCAGAATAACACCCTACCATATCACTCTGTTGACTAATGCTAAGTATGTAGTCCATGAAAACTCCCAGACCTTTATCACATGGACTGTTGTCTAGATATACCATCTTGTACTTGTACCTCTATACATATGTGTATGTGTGTCTATGTATCTATGTATGTATTTGTGTTTGTATTTATGTATATATTTTAGTATTTATTTGGCCCATAAATACTCTCTCTCTCTCTCTCTCTCTCTCTCTCTCTCTCTCTCTCTCTCATACACACACACACATACACACACACACACACACACACACACACCTTGGGAGAGCATATTCAGCTTAGTCTGAGATAGGGAATGTGTAAACTCTTTCCACTGTTGCAAATGGATAACTTCTCTATAAGCATTTCCATAACATAGTGTGATAAGAAAAGATGATTGTACATGAAACTGCAAATCTACTGTGTACGACTTGATATTCCTTTTAAATGTACAACTAAGTTATCATATAAATGTCTTTTTTTTCCTTTTTTTCTTCCCTCCTCCACTTCCTGATCCTAAAGATGGCCACCATTGGGGGGTGTGTTTATGTGTATGTGTATGTGTATGTGTATGTGTATAATCATTATATAATTTATTAGTTCTTCCTCTGGATGCGGATATCTTTCTCATACAGATTTGTCTATACACACCTCCATCTTGTACTTGTTCCTGTGTGTGTGTGTGTGTCCATACATATATATATATATATGTATGTATATATATGTATATATATATGTATATATATATGTATATATATGTATATATATGTATATATATATATTTGTATATGCATATGTTTATATACCTGAGTTTGAATCCAGACTCAAATACTTACTAGCTATGTGACCCTAAGCAAGTCACTTAACTTCTGCCTCAGTTCCTTTATCTGTAAAATGGAGATAAATAACAACACCTCCCAGAGTTATCATAAGGATCAAATTATATAATACTTATATAAGCTCTTAGCACAGTATCTGCCACATAGTAGGCACTATATAAATGTTAGCTATTATTATTACATAGCCCATATATTTCTCTCTCCGTCTCTCTCTCTCTCTCTCTCTCTCTCTCTCTCTCTCTCTCTCTCTCACACACACACACACACACACACACACACACACACACACATCTCCTGGGAAAGCACATTCAGCTTAGTCTGAGAACTTTTTTATGACCTAGCCATGATCTGGAGCCTGTGAGAGTCCCTGGGCTCAGTCACCAAATGGTACCCACCTCTCCTACTCCTTGCTCACACATAAATTCCCTCTTCTTACTTAGGAGATATAGAAGTTCCCTCAGTTAAGTGTCCTGGAAGGTGATGGCCCTATTACTAAACACCTGATAAGATATGAGGGACACCCAAGAGGCAGAATGGGTATGCTGAGCAAAGGCACTCAGAGAGTGAACTTGAGGAAATAGGTTTCAATAAAAGCATAATGTACTCTCTTACTTTTTATTTCTCCTGTGCTACAACAAAGAAGTGAGTTGATCCTTCTTGGCAAAGGGAAATTAGGGGTTGCAGAATCTCTTCTAAGACCTAAGCTAAGTAAATACTCATAGCATGAAGTATTTAAAGGGTTCAGCTATTCTAATGATAAGAGAAAACTGGCTGAAATGCAACACCAGGGATTTAGGCAGGTCCAACCCTAAGGACAGGCCAAGTATGCAGCCACCAATATAATACAGCATGAGACGTTGCATCACTACCCTTCCAATCTACACCAGGCTGCTCTCTCCTTCTGAGCTGCAAATTCTTCTAGGTTAGACAACATAGGCAGAACTTCTCCCCTGAGTGCCACCATTAAAAAACACATCCCTTATTACATGAAAAGGAAGAAAGGGACATAAGGAATAGGGATGGTTCCTTCTCCCAATAACCAGCATCCTCTTTGGAAGGTATAGAGAACAGGGCACTAAGAAGCTGGAATTAGTAGAAGGTAAGCTTCATTCATTCATTCAATATTTATTGAGGATTTGCTGTGCCAGGCATTTAATTGCACTGTCAAGCCTCACATGGTAGGAAAGAGCTGACAACATGTGACTCAGGGGGAAGGCAGTCCCAGATGGGCTCCAGAGTGGGTGGCCTGGACAATAGAGATGAGCTCTGGAGGCCCCAGGTGCCTCATCTCTCCTATAGTTGGCTCAGAATGTATAATGTTGTTTTTGTTGAGATGTTTCAGTTGTGTCCAGCTCTTTATAACCCCATTTGGGGTTTTCTTGGCAAAGACACTAGAGCAGTTTGCCATTTCCTTTTCCAGCTCATTTCACAGATGAGGAAACTGAGGCAAACAGGGTTGAGTGACTTTCCCAGCGTCACATAACTAATAAGTGTCTGATGCCAGATTTGAACTCAGGAAGATGCGTCTTCCTGACTCCAAGCCTGGCACTCTATCCACTGTGCCACCAAGCTGCCCATTCAGAGAGCACTCCTAGTACAGGCCTCATCACCTCACACCTGGACTATTGCCTACTGGTTTTGGAACCTGCTTCATCTCTTTCTCCTCCAATCCATCCTCTACTCAGTTGCCAAAGAGATTTTTCCTAAAGTGTAGATCTGACCATGCCACTTCCTCCCTATTCAATAAACTCCAGTGGCACTCTATTACTTGCAGAATAAAATATAAAGTCTTCTGTTTGACATTTAAAGCTTTTAATAACCTGGCCCCTTGCTACCTCTCCAATCTTCTTACATCTGACTCTGCTCCATACACTCAACTACCCAACTATACTGGCCTATTTGCTCCCCCATGGCATGCCTTTTCCTTGGTCCAAGAGCTTGCACTCTCTATCCCCCACACAGAATGCTCCCCATCCTCCTCTCTGCCTCTTCATTGTCCTCGTTTATTTCAAGAATCAATTCAAATCCAACCTTCTTCAGGAGGCCTTTCATGGTCTCCCTCCATTCATTCCCTCTGAGATTACCTTTCATTTATTTTGTATAAATTTTATATGTACCAATTATTTACATGTTATTTCCTCCATTAGAATTTGAGCTTCTTGAGGACAGAGACTTTTTTGGCCTTTCCGAGTATCCCAGTTCTTATCCCAGTGCCTGGCATATTAATAAATGCTTGCTGACTATTTATCACTGGCCACAATTTTGTAACATAGAGTGAGTCATTTCACTTTGGGGCTTCAAAAATCCATGTAAAAGTTTATTGAGCCCTCCAAAGCTCAGGTGCTAACAATGGAAAGGAGGACATGAATGAATGAAAAGCAATTAAGAACTTATTATATGTCAGAAATTATTTTAAGTGGTTGATTAAAGCAAACAGTCCTTAAGATTCAATCTTTTTTTTTTTGATCCATACCTGTGATTTCTTTGGTTTTGGAAACTTAAGCAAGAGAGAATCCCACAGCCAGCATAGATTGATCCCTCTGCTCCGGTATTTATAGTCTTAGAGTTGCCTGAGGTACTGAGAATTAAATAAATTGCTTAGTCACAGTGTCCCAAGGCACTGTGCTTGGAGGTGGTATTAGATAATAATGCTAATAACTGACTTTTAAATAGGGTTTACAAAGTGCTTTACCTGTCTTCCCCATTTCATACTCCCAACATTCCTATAAAGTAGGTGCCATTATTATCCTCATTTTACAAATAGGAAACTGAGGCTGAAACATTTAAATGATTTGCCTAGGCCCACCCAGCCAGTAAGTATCTGAAACAGGATTTAAGCTCAGGTCTTCCTGGCTTAGGTTCAGTACTTCATGAAATATAACATTCTACCTAGTATTAGAAACTATGTAGTAGAAGCTACCTAAGGTAGGATAGGGGTAGGGGGGTGGATGGAGTGTTCAGGGAAGGGTAGCACCTCCAGTATGAGAGCTTGCCCAGGCCTTTTTAGGACTGCTCATTCACCAACTCACACCCCGTCTAAGAAGCTGTAGCATGTTCAGCCCAGTACCACCCTGGCAGATGGGCTAAACTAGGTTAAGAGTAACAGACAGGCCTCAAACCTGTCAGTGAGTTAGGGGGATGTCTACCCCAAGCTTGCAAAGACTTCCTCTCCCCATGGGCAGATGAGAACAATTTGTTCCAACAGCCATAAGAGCAGCTGAAGCAGGTGCATTGGAGCACTTAGAGCTTGGCCAGATATCTAAGATGCCATGGTCATCCACTACATCCTGGGCCATTGACTTTTGTCCTGCCATTGGATTTTGATGACTCTGGAAGAGGGTGAGGCTGATGACTTTGTGCAACTCTGCCTCAGTTAAATCCAATTAGTGTGCAAGTCAAGACATCACCCTGTGATGTCATGGGTCCTCTTTGAAAATGAAAGACAAACAACACATAACCTAGAATAACAGGTGCCCTTTGGTTAAAAAAACAAAAACAAAACACCTTTAGAGAACGACAGAAATGTCTCCATTCCATAAATGTGTGTCAGAGGGAAGGGAAAGAGAAGAGCTAGAGAGGAAGGCTTTATGGAATTGGAAGTGCCTGGCCCTCTTTCCTGAGATGAGATCCTACTTAAGGGAAAGCTTTCCCCATATTTGGATAATAGGTTTATTATTGCTATCCTGGAATATTAGGACAGAACTCAAAGTAAAAGAGAAAAGAGCATTTATATACCAAACCCTTTCCATGTGTCCCTTAGAAATGAAAAGACTTTGACTGTAAGAACCTATCTTGTCCCCAGAAAACAGAGGATGAAACACTGTTTCCTCTAGAAAAGTAGACTATGGATTCAGAATGTTGGATACATTGTCATATTCAGTAGCTAAATTGTTTTGGTTTTGCTCAACTGTTTTTACTATGTTACAGAGGAATTAATGATTCAATAGCCACCAGGCATCTTTTGAAGGAACTCTGATAAGCACTGGGAATACGGGCAATAAGCAAAATAATTCCTGCCCTCAAGGAATTTACATTCTAATGGAGAGAAAATATGAACATGAGCAAATTCAGTGTGGTTAGAAAGGAAAGTAGCCTTAAAGAGGAAAGGAACTACCAGCTAGAGATTTCAATGGGGGCTGCAGTATATTTGGAAAAGACTTGGAACAAAAAGCATGAAACAAACAAAAAACAAATGGACCAGATTTCATATTAGCACCCTGATTCTGGTCTTCACTGTTTCTCCTCAAACATTCCCTCTTTTCAGCAGAACAGAGTTAGGATTTAGAAATTATTCACAGGCATAATGCTAAGGCTAATCATTATAATTAATAATAATGGCTAGCATTTATGTAGCATTTTAAAGTCTGCAAAGAGCTTTACATCTGTTATCTTATTTGAGCATTTGCTCCATTGTTCCCAAATCCCCTGGGGGCGGGAGGTATAAGGTCAATCATGTATCTCATCCCAATGGTGTCACACTGGTTTCTAGTACTTGGATCCTGAAAAATTTATTCAGAATCATATTCCAGATTTCCATTTTGCAAAAACTATGTAATCTGATCTGGTGGTTAGAGGTCAGAAGGTGATCAGACAAATTCCAGATAGACCCAGACAAAAGCAGCCTTACCCTCTCAGAAGAAAACACCAATGGAAGGCTAGCAGGGAAAGAGTGGTTCTCTGTTTATGAAGTAACTCACTATCGTTCATAGTGGCTGATAACTAAAGCAGGAGGCAGGGTCATTCCTCTCAAGAAAGTACCTAGGTGACTGGACAGATATTGGGCAGAGTGAGTCTGGGTTAAAATCCTCTTTTCACTACACCCACAGAGAAGCTCTTTTTGCAGCATTCATATAAGAAGGCAGAGTTCATCTTGTTCTTGATCCAACCACCTACATCACCTATTTTTTCTTCATCATACCCATTTAACATTTTCCTTTGTTCTCTGCCAGCCCAGGCAGAAGAGACTTCTCCCTCTGAATTTGTGGGATACTTTTTCCTCTGTCAGGTGGAATCTTCTGAAAACATTCCAGCCTTTCCACATTTATTTTTAATTTCCTTCCCTTCCTCTCTGTGTTTGCTCTGTACAAAACATTCTTATGTTTGAACATGTGAGGTTTTGGAGCCCTGCTCTAAAAGGAAAAAGATATTATTTAGCAAGTCCTATAGACTCTTCCTTAAACTTCTGAGACAGTCAGTCCTCTGGGTCCCCCAGGGATAGAACTCTGAAGGACTTTTGTTTCCTGTTCTTCTAGGGGGGCCACCTCTGGTGAAGACTTTGGAGGACTTCAGTGTCCGCACTTTGTACGATAAGCTTGAGGACCAGAACCTACACTTGGCATCACAGCTGAGCAAGCACAGGAGTGATGCTCTTGCCTTTTACAAAGGAATTAACCAACAGATCCAAGAGCTAAAGGTTGGTCCCACGAGACTCCTGGCTCACAGTGCAAAAAAAAAAAAAAGTAGAGTCATCCTTTACTTTCCTCTTAACCCCCACTCTTCATTCCTCTACCCATAGTCCTTCAGGAAATATGTTCCTAGGATAGCTAGGTGACATAATGGATAGAATACCAGCTCTGGAGTCAGGCAGACCTGAGTTCAAATCCAGTCTCAAATACTTGATACTCACTAGCTACAAGACCCTGGGCAAGTCAGATTGCCTCAGAAAAAAAAAAAGAAAGAAATATGTTCAACTAACTCATGTCCACTCCCATGTGGAAATTGCCTTGGTTGGAAAAGGGAGTGGCATTATGATGAAGGAAGTCTTTGTTATAAGAGGCTAACATCATTTCCTTTCTCTAGGAATTTCTACAAGAACTGAACCATACTGAACTTCAAGGATTGAAGAGGAGTGAAGACCCCAAAAGTGAAAGCAAAGTCAAGGTGCAGAAAGGCACTGGTCAGAGTGAAGAATTCCCAAAAAGCAACATTATAGACTTCCCAGAGGGAAAATGGCAGCATCATTTAGGTGAGAATTTGGGAGGGGAAAAAAGCGAGGGTTGTGGCTAGGAGGTCTGAGGAAGAAAGAAGGTAGGACAGCAGGAAAGATGGGATGGCTTCATCTTTAGCACTAAATCTCTATTTCTGGAAGCCTACGCACTATACTGATGCACAGACCAAGACAAAGATGTACCTCCACTAGCACTGCAAAAATGCCACAAAATATATCTGAGCATTCCAATTCAATAATAATATGTTCATTTAATATGCAATATCAAGACACCAAATAAGTATACATTGGTGCTGAAGACTACTTTTTTGAGTATTCAATGATGAATGATTGAATGATGAGAAGCATTTATTAAGTACTTGTTATACACCAAGAATTTATTATATTTCAAGCTAAGGATGCAAATACAAAAACCAAAGATGTTCCCCACCCTGAAGAAGCTTACATTCTAGACAAATGGGATGAAGATTTTGGTTTGGAAAGTTATAGGAATAGTGAATGGGATCATAGGAGCAAAAGGTAAAGAAGAGAGGAGAACAGGGTTAATCTTGGTGGTGGTGAAGGGAAATCCAGGGAGTGAAATGAATCATGAAGCCTGGCTGGAGATTATATCTAAATAAAGATTTTTTCGCCATTCATTGATTCATCATTGAATTCCCAGTAAGAAATCTTCAGCACCAGTATATTGTTACTTAGTGTCTTCATATCATATGCTAAATTTAAATCTAGGATGGGGAGAGGAGGGAAGGATTGAGGCAACCACCCTTTAAGACAGCAGGCCCCAGTATAGGAGTTCCAGGCATCAAAGAGTGCAATCTTCCAGGGCTTGGTTTCTGCCCCAGGGAGCTGGTGAGAATAAGTCCAGGAAATAACATGATAACTAATTAGCAAATTCCTAAGTGCATTCAACAAATGTTTATTAAGCATTTAAGGTTTTATATGCTAGAATGTTTATCAATATCCTCCTCTTTCCCATGGATATCTACCATCCCCTCCCTGAGCTTCTGGGACCAGAGGGAGATGGCCACATTACCATTGCCAGCAGACCTTTAGTGAGTATTTTTGGAGAAAACATCTGTCAGAAGGCAGGTAGAAGGGCCAATGAGAAAAGGAAACACAGTGAAATGCCATATGGTGTTTAGCAAGGGTGAGTGAGAACCTTAGCAGGTGGAGGGGGAAAAGGATTATAAGCGAGAAGACTAGGGGAGTAGAACCTAAAGGGGTAGATTCAAGAAGGAAAAGGAGAAGGTAGCTGGCAAGACAAAGCAAGGTAAATAAGAAACAGCAAGTCGAACAATTGGAGGTTAAAGCAAAGTAACTGATGGATAGGACAAATTGGTGAAACAGTATTACAAGATTGAAAGGACAGGTGGGTGAGGTTGCTGCTGTAGAGTTATTGAGGCAAGGAAAGGAAGTTACTAGGGTTGTTAAGCTATTAAGAGGCGATAATTAGCTATAAAAGTTTCAACCAGGTGCTTAGAGCTGACATGTAAATTACCTACAAGTTGTTCAAAAAACAAGGCTGAAAAATTCAAACATTATGGAGAGTAGGAAAAATTGTGCAATGATGCACCAAGTGTGTAATGTTTATTTTTCTTCCACAGCCTAAGAGCTGTTATGTGTGCCCTAAGTATAGGCTGATCTCTCTACTAGAGGAAAATGTGAAGGGACTCAAAGAATGACTCCCCATGCTTCCAGCTATTAGGGAGAAGGGAGTGTTCCTAAAGGAAACAGAAGGAAAGCTTCAATGGGAAGAAAGGCAATCTGAGGTGGAGAAGGGCAGATTTGACTTTATCCTTGTCAGGATGTTGGAGAGTGAAAGAGTGGAAAGGAAAAGAGAGGGAAGGAAAAAGTTGTACTACTAGAGCTTAAAAACAGACTCAAGGTTCTTCCTGAAGAATAAAGATCTGAATTCTGGGGTGAAAGCAGCTACTCATCCTCCCAGGAATGAGCTAGCAAAGCCACAGAAGCTGTCAGTTGAGGAACCATCCAGTCAGGATTAGAGGAAGAAGAGAAAAGAAGCAATATGTTGTGATTCAAGGATACTCGGGCAGGTGACCTGATCAGAATAGAGAAGTCTGTTGACTTCTCAGGGCGTTTTTCCAAGACATGACATGGGACTGTACCAGACTTATCAAAATGAAGAACAACCACCCATTACTTCTTAGTCATGTGGGACACAAATGTCACTACCACAAGAAATCTAAAAATGTATTGCCAATGATTATGGTGCTTAGGCAAGATGCTAAAAACCACAGAGACACTGATTAGGTTTTATTCACTGTTGCACATTCAAGGAAAGAGATGTAAAAGAGAAAAATTAATTTAGGAAGGAAGGTGCTATATTAAAATAGGATTTCGACTTTTGAACCATAGCTTCAGAACAGGGAGATGACAAATTCCTGGCAAGAGATACAGTACACCTAACAAATGCTGGTAAAAATGTACATGCTGAGTGTCTTTCAAATCTAACCAAAAGAGTTTTAAGTTAAAAAGAAAAGGGAAGAGGAGAAGACTGCAAATAGACACACATACATATATACATATGCACATATATGTATATATAAACATACACTTATACACACGTATATACATATACATGTATACATACATATGTACGTGTGTGTGTGTGTGTGTGTGTGTGTGTGTGATCTCAAGCAAGGCTACATAGTAGGAAGAAGAATAGTACTTAATACACCAAGAAGTTCCCATGAGACAGAATCTAAGAATGGAGCCAGTAGCAAAACCCATAGCCTCAAATGTTTATATACAAATGCCCAAAGTTAAGGCAATGAAGAAGAAATAATAGAGGTCTTAATGTAAATTTGACCTCATAATAATTACTGAGACTTGGTGGGTTGAAACCAGTGACCCATTCAAAAAGGTGGCTGGTGAACATCTATAAAGTAATTACCAAGCTCCAACATGACTTCACCAAGAACAGGTCATTCCAGATTAACCTCATTTCCTTTTTCAACAGCAATACTAAACCAGTGAATGAAGGGAACATTGTGGATCTAATTTGTCTAGATTTTAGCAAAACTTTTGATGAAGTGTCTCATACAATTCTTGTGGAGAAGATGAAAAGATATGGATTAGACAATACTACTAGATGGATTTCAAACTGGGTAGATAGCTGGACTCAAAGAGTAACTTGACTAGATAACACACTGGATCCAAAAGGGCCCTAACTGGCTAAAATTGAGCTGAATCGAATAGAATGAAATACAGTGGGAATAAATGTAAAGCCTGACACTTAGATACCAAAAAATCACCTTCTCAAGTACCTTCACCCTCACAACAGCAGCTGTTGTGAAAAAGATCTCTGGGTTTTGGTGGCCATATGCTGTTTCCACATAGCTGTTTGCATGTTGTCACTTCCTTTAGACGATGAGCTCCTTGAAAGTAGGGACTGTCTTTTGCCTTTCTCAGTTTCCCTAGAACTTAGCACAATGCCTAGCAGTTGGGTCCTTTAGAAATGTTAATTTACTGACAGATAGTTCTATATGTCACCAGGGTGATGTGGCAGCCAATAAAAGCCAATTTGATCTTGAGCTTCATTAAAATAGGTAGAGCTTCCAGGAATAGGAAGGTTATAATTGCACTTTACTTTACTTTCATTATACCATCAACAGTATTTTGTTAGTTCTGGGTGCAAAGAGAGGCAAAAAAAAAAAATAGTCCTTGCCCACAAGGAGTACACCCTCTAATGGCGGACACAACATACAATTACGTACAAACAAGATATATAGATATAGATATAGATATACTATAAATTGAAGATGCTCAACAGAGAGCAGAGAATAGAACTAAGGAGGATCAGGAAAGTCTTCTCATAGAAGGTGGGATTTTAGCTGAGATTTGAAGGAAGCCAAAGAAACCAGGAGACAGGGATGAAGAGGAAGAGAATTCTAGGCATAGGGGCAGCCAGTGACAATGCGGGAGACAGAGTGATTTATGGGAGGAAGAGCAAAGAAGCCAGTGCCACTGATTCACAGAGCATGTGGAAGAGAGTAAGTTATAAGAAGACTGGAAAGGTAGGATGGGGGCTGGTTGTGAAGGATTTTTGTCATCAAACAGTCAGGATTTTGTATTTGACCCTGGAGGTGATATGAACCACAGAAATTTATTGTTAAGGGGGTGATGTGGTCAGATCTGTACTTTAAGAAGGTTAATTTGACTGCTAAATGGAAGATGGACTGAAGGAGGAAAGCCTTGAGACAAGAGAGGCTAGTCAACAGGTTATTGCAAAAGTCCGGACATGAAGTGTCAAGGGCCTATACCAGGGTGGTGGCAGTGTCAGAGAAGAGAAGAGGGGATATGCAAAAGATGCTACAAAGGTAAAATCAACAGGCCTTGGCAACAGGTTGGATATTGCAAAGGAAGGGAGTGATGGGAAGTTATAGACAGTGAATAGCAAAAGATGCATCAGCTCATACAAGTTGATGAAAAGCGAAGCAAGCAGAACCAGGAGAATATTGTACACAGTAACAGCAATATTGTATGATGATCAACTGTGAATAACTTAGCTGTTCTCAGAAATACAATGATCTATCTGCATCCAGAGAAAGAACTGATAAATAGAAATATGTAAAGAATGATTTTACGTATATATGTGTATATATGTGTGTGTATATACATTATATAGGTGTATATATACATACATACATGTACATACATATATGTATAGATATAATGTATATACACACATATATTTGCATCTAATGATAGTCATCTCTGGGGGGAGAGGGGGAAGGAAAAATTTTAAAAATTAAAATTAAAAAATTAACATAATAACTTTATTATATATTTAAAAGGAATAGGAAATTGTGAATAATGATAGATTTGTATGTTCATGTCCAATCATTTTTAATATACCATATTTTAAAAATTATTTAGTATTTTATTTTTCCCTAATTACTTATAAAAACAATTTTAACATTCATTTTTAAAATTTTGAGTTCCAAATTCTCTCCCTTCCTCCCTCCTCACCCCCCTCATTGGGAAGGCAAACAATT